TTTTCTAATTTCCTGTGGTACAATAAGAAGGGTTGACCATAAATTACTAGTCACTTGGCTTAGAGGGTAACCATTGAAAGAAGATGTAATTTATCAGTGGTGATTTATTGTTGTTGTAATGATGTGGACATTGGTCAAGATTTAATGTGTCCTATGGGAGGTTTATCTGTTTACAGTCTTTATAAAGGTTGTTTTTCTTTAAAGTTTTAGGTCCGCAAGTTATCAGCTTGGTTCAATAGGTTTATTATACATTAGATGTCCGATGGATTAGGTTAGAAAGACGATTGATGGATTCTTTAGAAATCCCAACTTGCAAAAAGATTTAAAGATTAGTAATATCCATGGAGACTGTAGTTAAAATGTTGTTTATTTTTCAAAATTTCTATATTTTGATTTGTTCGGTATTAATGGAGTTCAGTTGCTATGGCCCCAATGGGATTAAGTTTTGTGAGATTTGGCTTGGAGCTATTAAAATAACATTTTATATGTTAACATTTTTTGAAAATTTTATTTTTACAAAATCATTCAAAAGAATATATATCATATGTGTCTAGATATTTATTAATATACTGAAAACATTTTCGTATACATGTGCTATGATCTGTTGTGGGACAAAAGACTAGACTGAATTACCAAATTTGTTTAAAAAGCCATAAATATTTTCCCTAAATATAAATAGCTAAAAAATCAGTTGGATATCTTTTACAATCTGAATGTATTAAATTAAAAGTTGTATTAAAGTTGCCAAAAACACAGAATTAAGGATGAATAGAAATTTTCTTAGTTCAAAATATAGGCTTCAGATGTGATTGATATAGAAAGTGTACAGTCATGGTGGTAGAGTATGGTAGACCTTCTTGTTAAAATGTTTTGTGAAACATTTTTTTTATCGATGTATAAAAATTTTTCATTGAATTTCATTCGTTCCAGCATCATAAATTTTAAGAGAAGTTCTGAGAAGAAATCAGGTATGTTTCTGGGAACCACATATGGTCTGGACAACCAAAACAGTTTCAAACTATTTAAAGGAGGATTTACAGTGTTTTTAAAGAGCATGATAATAACATGGGTCATCACTGTACAGAACAAGCTAAATACGACAATGCTTAAAATTTTTCAATCAACTCTTTGGAAAAAATATGCCCACAAAAATACATTCCTGAGAAAATTTTGCAATTCGAGAGATTTTGAAAAATAATCTGTTATCCTTGTACATGTTGTAAGGGGATCCAAATTAAGGAGGATCCAGTTGAAATCTAGCACATTATATATACCTATGGCATCAATCAAAAATTATTGAAAAATGCTCTGCCTGTGCCTTTTTAATGTTGGGTTTAGCTAGAATCTGCAAAATGTGAATTCTAATTGATGATGGAAGTTTAATAAAATGTTAAAAAAAAAAATATGAGGAAAAATTTAATAAATAAATCACAGCTATTTTTTGTAAATTTCTGCTGGACAAGGTTATTTTGTATTGGATACACCTTGAGGGCGTTAGCCCAAATGGGTGTATCCAATTTACACCAAGATATTATTGTCAATGCAGAATGATATTTTTCAATGATTTAGGATTGAGGGAGGTCTTTCAGTGATTTGACCATATGTTATTGAAAAGCATGATAAATGCAGGGTATTCAATTTCATTTAAAGACATCTATGTGTAAATAGGAATACACATGATATTAACTTTCAATTCTAGAACACAGCACAGTGCCCTATAACTAGAAAATAGTTTGATGTTTCTTTGGATATGTGCTTGTGAAAACATTTTATTCAAGTTTCACTGAGGTGTAAACTTAATGATAGCAAGTAATATTTTTTAGGATTCATCAATTTAAAGAAGGGGATACTTGCTTGACCAGTTAACTTATTTCTTTTCTCACTTGTAATACTAGATCTTTAAAATATCCTACTTTGAAATTAGCTTTTGTACAGCGGAAATATTTAAAGAAATCCAAAAAACACTTATCTCTGTAATCCATTTAGACTTTGTGTAACTGAAGCAGACCTCATATCACTGGATTTAAACCCTATCATGCATACATTATTACTAAAATCGCTGTCGGAATGTTAAATTGCCATCACACTGACAATAAACCAGTGAATATTAACATTTTAATCTTCATTTTCTGGAGTGTATTGCCTGGTATTAAAATACTTTTAGTATGAGAAGGTCAACCACATCAATATAGCAAGTTCCCTACTTGAAGATATCAATGGCTCTGCATGTTATTTAGCCAATATAGGATGAAAGAAAGGATACTGTTGGGAGGGGTTGTATGATGCAGAAATAGTTAAAGGAAGAGAACATGATATGTACCGTGAAACAAGCTAACATTTCATAATTTGTAAACCAATTTATTTTTGTGATACTGTTTCGCATTAAGCCTTTTACTAGCTGACATATTACTGAAAGTTTCACAATTTTCTTACTTTGTTGCTGTATTTTTATAAGAGTAAATCTGAAGTTTGACATATATATATATATATATACTTACAATATATTTCTACTAGCAAAAGTCTAAAAATAGGAATATTTGTTTTAATATTTCTTTGTTGGCTACATTTACACAGTAAAATAATGTGATCAGCAGTAGATACGAAAGGAACTCATAAGTTGAAGACAATCTTACAATACAATACAATGGCAGAATACCAAAAAAAAGACCAAAGGGACAAGAACGGTTTACAAAACAAAACATAATAACTAAAGACTGAGCAACACAAACCCCATCCCAAAAACCAGGATTGATCCCAGGTGCTCTGAAAGGGTAAGCAAATCCTACTCTACATTTGGCACTTGTTGTGTTGCCTATGTAAAATCACAACAGCCAAGGTTTTTGTCAACATTGGGAGTGGTTGCAAAGTTAACTTAACTGCCTGATGGTACCTGTTTCCACCATAGGAAGTGGCATGTCCTGTCTTTCCGTTGGTTGAAACATGTGCACTGATAATACCTTTGAAAATAGGGAATCTTTTGAATTGAATAGTTTTACAAAATTTTATATGATGTATGCAACAAGTCTGTCCATGATGGTAAGATAGAGATGATTAATTCACAAATTGTTTCTACTCAAGGCAGTTATAGCTTCAGACATTTAGAGACAAATAGAGACACTTGTCTCTTGTTGAAGGTTGTATGTTGACCTCTAGGAGTCTTCTTTAGTTTTCTGTGTATTGTGTAGTAAGGTTGTCTTATTGTTGAAAACCCCAAATTTTCTTTCATTTACAAAGGCCTTCACATGTATGATTGGAACAGTAAATGTGCTCAAGGTTATTAAGTAAAAAATCACTCTTTGTAGTGATTTTACCAAGTGAATGTTGGTGAATTACGGTGATTCACTCACTCCAATCTTATAACTAAATTTTGCTTAAAAGGTTTTGAAACAAGCCCATGACCATATTCCTTTGAAGTCAGAAAAATTAAAATAATGAGTCAGTATTGTTTTGTTCATTAGGTGTATTTTCCATGTGATATAATCATTTACCCATAATTCATAAACAAATGAAGCCAAACAGAATTGTAAAATGTGTTAGACAGATATGGAACATGTATTGATTGTACAAAGTAGTCCAGACTCCCCAGAGACATAATTTACCTTGATACCTGTAAAAATCTCATTATAGATCAATAGCCTCTTGTCTTTGATGTCAATTATTACCTGAGAGTCTGTCAAAATATAATCTTTATGGTAAAATTCATTGGAGAAAGTTGATAACCAGTATTTTAAATTTTAAAGTAGATCATATTGGAAGAAGTGAAAACTTATCAATTCTGACACACTAAATTTTTGATAAAGAGAAAACTTGTCTTGAATTACCTACTGTGTATAGAAAGTTTACTAAATGCATATTATGGAATGAAACCATTCTAATTTATAGTTAAGATAAAATCAGGGCTATAGTTTCAGGCAGTAAAAATATAGCTTTGTATGTAAAAAGTCTGTTAAATATGAAGAAAATGCTAGGGTCAAGTAGTGCTTGGAACAACAACTATATGAAAATATAATAAAAAGACAATATACATGATCGATACAGAAAGAAAAAAACTTCTCAAAATATCTATAGGTGATGAAAATAATAAAATGTTAGTTTTAATGTTTTGGATGATTATCCTGTTGCATTTTTATGCCCCCGCTGTAGCGGTGGGGGCATTAAGTTTTACCCTTGTCCGTCTGTAGGTACGAACGTACATCCCAAAATTGGTTTCCGTTCTCTAACTTGAGTTTGCCTCAACCAAATGTTATGAAACTTATACACAATGCTTAATTACCACAAAACACAGATCAAGTTTGAATTTTGGTGGTGTCACTTTAACCATTCTAGAGTTATGCCCCTGTATGAATGGAAAAATTGCAAAATTTTTTAGTTTCCGTTCTTTAACTTAAGTTTGCCTCAACCAAATGTTATGAAACTTATACACAATGCTTATTACCACAAAACACAGATCAAGTTTGAATTTTGGTGGCGTCACTTTAACCTTTTTTGCCTTACATGTAATAAATATTTCCATTAATTTCTAAATTTATGGCACTTGCTGAAGGTCATTTAATTACCCTGGTAAACATACTACAAATCAGTCTGAAATAAGCAGTTTTTGTACTTGACTGTACTAATTCTTACCATCCTCAATAAGTCTGAATTTTACTTAATAAAATTACTTGCCCCCAATCTTAACCTGATCTTGACAGTACTGATTTGTACTCGACCTTTTATCCCGACCATACTTAAAAGTCTGAACTATTTTATTTCTTTTTAATCATTCTTGATTTTGTGACTTACTATTATTTAAAACTATACAATACTTCTCGCTGTTTTCTTATCAATTTTAAACAAAATTCAATCAAGACTTTTACTTCTCGCTGTTTTCTTATCAATTTTAAACAAAATTCAATCAAGACTTGCATTATGTACAAAAATATATGCACTATTCATGAAAAATACTATGATATATGAAGATGTTATTTTAAGCTAAAAACCAATTTTTTGTCCCATTACAGGATTCAGGATATATTTAAATGGCAGTTAGAGGTTGAAGATGATAGATCTGACATTGACACTGGTCGTATTGTCTGGAGTGTGGAGTATGAGAGGACATCTAAACAAGAACTTTATGTCTCTCAGGAATCACGAATTGTTTCTCACATCAATATCAGATCCCAGAAACAAGATCATCTGGTACCTGTTGTTAAGGTAAATATCTTAGGTAACAGTCACAGTCTTATGTTCTGTGTCTTATTTGATCCCAGGAAAATGATCACATGGTATCTGATAATGAGGTCAATATACCAGTGATGAGATACAAGACCAGAGATCCCTGGGATCAATTTCACAAAAAAAACTTACGAGAAAAATACTCTTTTAAGTCTTGAACATTTCAGTATTTGTTACAATCAGTTTTTGTGGTAAGATTTTTTGTGAAAAGAGGATGTCAATTCTATGGTCAGTATTTTGATATTAGTCACAGTCTATTGTCTGAATGTATTAGAAATAGATGAGAATTAAAAAGTTTATAAGGATTCTTTTCCAATCTTTTATACATACTCATAGATACACAAAGCTATATTTGAATAGTACATATACAGATATCTAAATGTTTGGAGTTATATTTGTAGTAATAAAAAGTACCATGTATAAATCGGCACTAAATATTTTATAAAAGAATCCATTTCATTTGTAGATATTGAAACATAATAATACCAATGTTTACATTGGTTTTAGTCTGACAAGTGATTCAATCAATATGTGTTAATTTTCTTCTAAAGAATTGAGATTTCAGCGATAGTAAAACTTTATTGGAATTTTGATTATTGATGATGTGCATATACTGTAAAGTGGTTTCTTTTTCATGGAGATTAAACTTCCAGATTTTATAGGCCAAGGCCCTTTTTACAAGGTTGAATTTTCTGTCTTTCCTGGTCCTAGGCCTAAAAATTTGTTTAAATATCAAACTGAATGGGTCTTGTCTATCATATTTGTTTTTCTTAAATTGTTTTGTTTTAAATTAGGATGTTATTTTTCTAGTTTGAATTGTTTCACATTTTTTCATGTCTGGGCCTTTTATAGCCGACTGCATGGTATAAGTTTTTCTCATTATTGAAGGCCATATGGTGACCTATAATTTCTGATGTATTTTTAAGTAGGGGATATTTTCACAATTTTATCTTAATAGTGAAATTACTGAAAAATAATCTGTCACAAAACATTTCCACTTTACAATATAAGAAACTCTTTTTACCAACTCAACACGATATCATTGCCCACATTTTAGATTTAACTTACTTATGTATATAATAACAGATAGATATATTTTATGATAAGATATTAGAAACCTGTCTCTAATGCTGTTATCAGTGAAAAAAAGAAAGAAATGCTTTTTTCAACAAGAGAAATAAACACATTTGAAGAGAGCATGTTTACTAATGTTAAGAGGAATATGATTATTTCAGTAGGTTTCAATTTGTCTTTATAAAAAGATCAAAGGCAGTTTTTATAACAAGTTGTGTATTGCCTCAATAAAAACTGCACCTAATACGCAGGATGTAATTATAGTTTTTACCTTGGTATTTTACATTAATGGTGTATATACATCTTACGATATTCTCTGATCTTTTCTGTTTAAGTACTTAATTGTACAAAATGTATATCACTCTGTCATAAAATCTGTTATTTAAAAAATCATTAACTGTAACAACATGTGATGTATAGAAAAAAAATTGGACTTCCAGCCGAACCTCAAGTAATTCGGAAGTGAGGGGTCAATATGGTCATTTAATACATAACTTTTTTGAATATTTTTTTTTAAACTAAATTTAGACCTTCCTTTGTTGCATTTTCCCTTAAAATGGAGATTTGAATGGTTCATAAAAATGTCAATTTTTTGAAATTTCCATGATCCATAGATACTTAAATGGCCCTATAAATTTTCTTTAGACGAGACACCAATGGCATAAATTTTTTTACCATCTTGATCCTCTACATTAGTATTTTTTTCAAACCAGCAGAAGATGATTTATTTTAATATTTGTAGTTGACATCAGTAGTTATAGCTTTAGTATTGTTTTACATTATTTAGTACTTTACAGCTTATTTAATGAGTTCCTTTAAAGAATTTCACTTCTTTATTGGAAATAAAAGTTGAAAAGTTGAAATTATCATACAAAGTATAAAAAAACCTTATAAATATTAAGGTTATATCTATTATTTAGTCTAAATAGATTTGACTACTACATGTAGTTTTCAAATGGTTATCAGACTCACAAATATAGACTACATACATGTGAAAACAAACTCAATCATCTAACATCTTATTTTTCTTTTTGAAATTCATTTCTATGTGTTGGAAATAAGTAATTTTTTTGAAAGGTACATTTATAAAATGTACCATCTTACAACCTCTGAATCTCAGCATGTTTGTTCTTATGTTTTACTGTTACACCACTGTCCCAGGTTAGGGGAAGGGTTTGGCACCAGCAGACATGTTGAACCGCCCCACATTCTGTTTTTGCCTCTCCCAAGTCAGGAGCCTGTAATTTAGTGGTTGTAGTTTGTTTCTGTATATCATATTTTTTTTTCGTTTATTGTTTTGTACATAAATCAGGTCGTTTTCTTGTTTGATATGTTTTACATATAATTTGTCATTTTGGGGCCTTTTATAGCTTACTATGTGGTGTGGATTTTTCTCATTGTTGAAGCCTTAAGGTGACCTATGGTCGTTTACTATGGAGAGTTGTCTCACTGCAATTGTACCACATCCTCTTATTTTTATTAGAACCTTCACATACCTAGCAACAATATTATTACTAGCCCTATTCGTTGGCATATATATATGTTACTTGTGTGCAAAATTCTGAAGATGTTGTGCTGCAGGCTCAACTTGCAGCAGAAATAGATATAAAAGAATTAATCTGTTTACAGATGATATAATATTTAATCTGAAGTTCGTATTCCAAACAATATGATATTTGTATGGTTTTGATTATGGAATTAAACCTAATGCAAGATGTCTGTAGCTTTTATCCTGGAGATTTAATGACCAGGTGTAGCGTTTAATGCTAATATTTACAGAAGTTGTTAGATCAGAAGGATTAGTTCATAACACATACTGCAACTCACATGGTTATTGAATCATCACGGAACTGGGATAGAATTATTACATAACAATTGTCAAATCTTGACCAGAAATTTGCTGCTGGTATTGAAATTTGTGGAGTTTTTGGAAATGGAAATATAACATGTTGACAAAGAAATTTAATGATTTTGTTTTAATCTGCTATTTTAGACAAATTAAGAATTCCTGAAACCAATGTTTAGTTAATGATACCATGATAATTCAAAAAGCTGCTGTTAAACACTTAAATGTTTTATTCTGGTATGTTTGTGATACCATCCTAACAATTGGGGGTAACACATCAACACAAATTAATTTCAAAATGATATCTAGAGACCAACATACAGTCTTCAACAATAGACAAGTATCTCATATTGCAAGGTGTGATAATTGCCCTTAGGCTAGAGATTAGAGAAGGGACATTTCTGCTACATGTAGACAGAATGACTTCAGAGGGTGGTAAAGGGTTATTTTCGTGCAACTTGTTTTGCCATTTTTATTATACGACCGCAAAAATTGAAAATTTTTTGGTCGTATATTGGTATGACGTTGGCGTCGTCGTCGTCTGGCGTCGTCCGGCGTCGTCCGAAGACACATTGGTTTTCGCACTCTAACTTTAGTTTAAGTGAATGGATCTCCATGAAATTTTACCATAAGGTTCAATACCACGAAAAGAAGGTGGGGATTGATTTTGGGGGTTATGGTACCAACAGTTAAGGAATTAGGGGCCAAAAATAAGCATTTTTGTAACTTCCAGACAATAACTTGTGTGTAAGTGTATGGATCTCTCTGACATTGTACCACAAGGTTCCATATCACAAAAGGAATGCTGGGACTGATTTTGGGGGTAATTGCCTCAAAATTTTAGGAATTAGGGGCCAAAAAAGGGGCAAAAAACAAGCATTTTTCTAGTTTCATGACAATAACTTGTGTGTAAGTGTTTGGATATTTCTGAAATTGTACTACAAGGTTCCATATCACAAAGGGAAAGCTGGAATTGAGTTTGGGGGTAATTGCCCGAAACGTTTAGGAATTGGGGGCCAAAAAGGGGCCAAAAATAAGCATTTTTATACGACCGCAAAAAATTTTTTGTGGTCGTATATTGGTATGACGTTGGCGTCGTCGTCGTCCAGCGTCGTCGTCGTCCGGCGTCGTCTGGCGTCGTCCGAAGACACATTGGTTTTCGCACTCTAACTTTCGTTTAAGTGAATGGATCTTTATGAAATTTTACCACAAGGTTCAATACCACAAAAGGAAGGTTGGGATAGATTTTGGGGGTTATGGTAATAACAGTAAAGGAATTAGGGGCCAAAAAGGGGCCAAAAATAAGCATTTTTGTAACTTCCAGACATAACTTGTGTGTTAGTGTATGGATCTCTCTGACATTGTACCACAAGGTTCCATATCACTAAAGGAATGCTGGGATTGATTTTGGGGGTAATTGCCTCCAAATTTTAGGAATTAGGGGCCAAAAAAGGGGCAAAAAACAAGCATTTTTCTAGTTTCATGACAATAACTTGTGTGTAAGTGTATGGATCTTTCTGAAATTGTACTACAAGGTTCCATATCACAAAGGGAAAGCTGGGTTTGAGTTTGGGGGTAATTGCCCTAAACGTTTAGGAATTTGGGGCCAAAAAACACATTTTTTTCTAGTTTCCAGACAATAACTTGTGTTCAAGTGTATGGATCTCTCTGAAATTGTACTGCAAGGTACCATACCACAAAGGGAAGGCTGGGATTGAGTTTGGGGGTGATGAATCATAATGGGGGTTCAAAAAATTTTGGGGGGGGATTTATTTTTTTTTCCTTTTTTTTCTTTTTTTCCTTTTTTGTTTCTTTTAAAATTTTCCATTTTAAGTTGGTTATTTCTGATTTATATTTAAAATCAAATAATAATGATATGGTAGGAGATACACACCAAACAGGATGTGTAAATTATTATATAATAAGTATTGTGCAATAGCAAGAAATTTTCAATTGCACAGTATTGCACAATAGCAAGAAATCTTCAATTGCACAGTATTGCGCAATAGCAAGAAATCTTCAATTGCACAGTATTGCGCAATAGCAAGAAATATCCAAT